TTTTTTACTTATTTTTATTTGCAAAATATGCTGCCGAAGTTTCCGGAATACAATTCGGACCACCCTGTATAATAACATAGGTAGTAGATTAAATTTACAAGAAAGAAAACCCAGAAAAGATCCAGTGGTTCTCAAAATTTAAGTAAAAAACATACTTTTTGAAAATTTTCAAAATAAAATAACTCGGTTATTTTGGACTTATTTGGAAAACGGTAAAGAAAAAATATGATTCTTTTATCGAGATCTACCAGCCCTGAAAACATTTGCACTTCTTTAAGACTCACCCTGTATATTTTCAAATTTTAAAAAATAACTCCCGTCACTCTTTTAAATGTTCTATGTTTAAATCAGCTAATAATTAAAAAAATCTCTATGATTATGATCCTACATATAAATTTTAAACCAAATAATGCCGTAAATTATGGTAACCGTAACGTTAATCGTAATGTAATACAAAACAAACATCAATTAATGAGACTAATTTTTACGAAAGCGTAGAGCTGCCATCGCAACATTGAAAAATATTTTTAGCAAAATTTACACTTTTTCTGTAAATTTACAGATTTTCTGTAAATTTACAGATTTTCTGTAAATTTACACTTTTCCTGTAAATTTATAGATTTTCTGTAAATTTACACTTTTTCTGTTAATTTATGCCTTAGTGGCAAAAATGGTGCGTTATTCTACGAGTAGTTCCCATCGAATTCTGTTCTACGCCAGTTTATTCACAAAAGTCTTTACTAGTAAAGACAGAATTAGGGAACTATTGCGGCAATTAATTGAAGGATTGAAGACATGCGGACTATATGAAAAGATTAAGCAATATCCCAGTATATTCAAAGATATATTTTGTTCTGAAACCACACTCTCTTCAAAAATACTTGAAGAATTATTCCTCATCGTCTATACTGAACCTGGGTCTAACATAGTACAGAAAATCGGGTGATCTCTTATTTTAGGGATTATGTATTAAATTTCGAATGTGTATGATATAATAGTATGGCATTTTTTTGTTTAATATGTTTTCTAATATGCTTTTAATCGACCCGGAAAGTATTTTCACCCTTTCCGATGCATTACTGTTTGCAAGAGGATCTGATGGCCTCCACCTCTGGGATGACGTAAACTGTCGTCTGCAAATGATGTAAACTTAACATAACCATCCTCTAGCAGACATGTCAAAATTTCTTTATGACTTAATCCGATATGAAAGTAGGTTTTAATGTATTCGTCCATAATCTCTGATGAATATATGTACTACTTAGGCACAATAGCAACTTAATCAGCGCAGAACAATGCTCACTTGTAACTAGTGAGTAACGAGCAGGTCGATGCCGAGACGTCATTCTGCTGGGTAGTAAATTTCGCATGCAATTATTAGAAAAGTGTAAATTTACAGAAAAAAGTGTAAATTATTAGGCAAATCTGTAAATTTACAGAAAAAGTGTAAATTATTAAAAGTGTAAATTTACAGAAAATCTGTAATTTACAGAAATGTAAATTATGAAAAAGTGTAAATTTAACATAGAAAGTGTAAATTTACAGAATCTGTAAATTTACAGAAAAGTGTAATTTTGCTAAAATTATTTCATTGTTGCGATGGCAGCCTACGCTATGGTGTTTTATACAGTAAGTATTATTCATGTTTTATTTTTTATGTTTTACAGTTTTTATTTCGACGATGACTACCTACTTTTTTGCAATTTAAGTATTGCTCTCATCTCTCGAGTCTTCATTAGCCATTCCAGATGGAAGTGCTCTGAATATGACGGAAAACCCCAGGCCACAAAAACACGGAGCGTATTGGTGGATGAGGGTAAAGTTATTCAACATTTGCCTGGCTTATCACCTGCACACAGACATTGAACCTGGCCACGCCTACTTTAATTAAAAGGTCACAGCACGAAGGATTCGCCAATGCCTTGCTGCTTGATGGATGTATGTATTAGAGAAATTTTATGAGTACGTGAGTGGAGAAGTATCAGATAAGAGACAGAATTTGAAAGTTTGCTATTAATTGGGATAAAGAAGTTAAATTCTGTATTTAAAAAATTCCCGTTAAGTTGTCAATCGAATCTATATTAATATACAGGTTGTTCACCACATAATGACACGGAGTATTAGAAGCTAAACGATTAGATTTTAACAAATAGTAAGTTTTGGGTTCGTTGAAGGACTATTAGAGCTACAATTTAAAAATAATTTTACAACATACAGAGTGTCCCAAATAAGTAAAAAATATTATAGTTGTATTTTTTTAAACGGAACACCCTGTATATTATTCTATTTTTCGATACTACGATTGAAATAAAGGTAGATTTGATTAAGGTTTTCATCACACTACTTAAACGTTACCGTTTTTGAAATATTTTCAATTTTGTAAAATTGCAGTAAAAAATTTAAGGCTTATTTCTCCAAGGGTATTAAAGTTTTTAATACTAAATATTTACTGAAGATTATTTATTGATCAGATATTGTGTTGCTATAATAAACATTTTACTAGCTTATACAGAGTGTCCAAAAAATTTAGTATTAAATAATTACTAGCTTTAGATACAGGTTGTTTATAGGGTGTAAAGGTTCGATAAGAAGGGATTTTTCGAAATTCCAGTTCCAAGGGGGTGAAACCACCCCTCAAATATTACATATTTATTTAAAAAACGGTCTTTTTAAATAAAGTTGTTCACTTTTAAATAAAAATTTAAAAGTTTTTGAAAAAACGCTCGTACACGTATATTTTATTTTGTTTTTTACATATTTTAAGATTTTTTAAAAATGTATACAGGGTGTTTCGAAAAATCTTGTCATTGATTAATCACGATCCTGTTTAAAGCGCTTGACGTAAAAAGTTGATTTTTGGAAAACGGATTGACTTTAGGGTTTAGAGGTTCGATAAGAAGGGATTTTTCGAAACTCTAATTCTAAGGGGGTGAAACCACCCCTCAAATATTAGAATATTTTTTATTTAGAAACCGGTGATTTTTCGGAAAAACTCTTTAAACACGTATATTTTATTTTGTTGTTTTCTATATTTTAAGATTTTTTCATCTCATGAAATGTCCCCCTTCAACCTAACCAAACCTAACAAGATAAACAAGATATTTACTAAAAAAAATGATCAAAAATATTTGCTCGCATATCAAAACTAACTAAATTGATCGAAAATCTTTCTAATAAATTTACCGGAAAGTCATAGTAAGCGGCAAACGTCAATAAATAATAGTCACGTTTAGTTATGCACTGAAACGTTAAATCACCCACAGAAAGTGAAACAGAAACAGAAATTATTTTTCTCGTACGCTAATTGTCCGAATTAGGGTAATTCCTCATAAAAATTATTATTACTTTACATCATTACGATCAATTAAATAACCACGGTTAGTCGTTAGTCACGTCCTGTTTATAGGTCATATAGGGAAATCTAAAACAGTTGACGAATGTAAAAATGCACAATACTTTTAATACCGTATAATAAAAAAAACGGCGTCAGCGATGGCTATGAAATGAAAATCCCTGTCATTTTATATGTAAATTTATATGGGAAATGTCATCGATCATCATTACCCAGGCAACTGGACGCCGTTTTTTTCGATCATACGGTACTACCGATATTATCTAAAAATTTCTTCTAATGAAATCGAAATTTTCCATTGTCATAACACGCAGTACTATAGTTAGAACAATAATTGGAGCAAGGAACAACTCCAAAGCAATTCTGGACTTGCAATCAATCGACTGGCTCGTGAAGGATTTGGCCGCTAAGGGTGCCCTATGATTAAGGGAATCCAGTCTGTAGAACCAGACCAACTACCAGTCCATAGTCCACATCTGCTGGACCATAAAACGGACTATATGCTCACCAAACATGATTTTAGAGAAAAGATATGGATTCACATCCCGACAAGAGAAGAATGGGAATGCAAACGAGTAATGAACACTCAAGAGATAGCAGTCTACACAGATGCTTCTTTAACTTAATCTCATCTTCTCAGAGGAACTAGACATCCGACGATCTTTAAGACTTTTTTCTTTGCAAAGAGCTGGAAGGGCTTTAACGCGAAGAAAGAATGAGAGGAAGGTTTGGTACAACAATACAGGGGTATCGCAATGGGCCCCGCAATGTATTGGTTCTACTAACAGGGTATCCCAAGCATAGTCGTCATTTCCCCTGACAAATGTACATATAAAAAAATTTACGTATAAAAAGGTTGTGAAAGGGCCGTAGTTTCTGGAACATAGCATCGCACATCCCTAATAAGAAACTCAGTTAAAAAAGAATATCATATTTTTTTATGTAATTTATTATACACATAAATAAAAAGTAAACATACACACAGTTACAAAACATTTTTTAATTTCGTTTTATATACGCGCAATAAATTCACGAGTATGTGCGAACCAAAGTGTTATATTGCATATCGTAATTCAATATC